AGGAGATGGGAAACCGGACCCTCCTGCCAAGCCTACTTTGAGGAGCCTCTGGGGCCCCAAGCTTTCTACGGAGGAGGTGAACAAGGCGAAGGAACGTGCTCCCCTCGACAAGGATGGGCTCCTCCTCTGCTGGGGTGCCTTGACGCACATAACGTCTCCTGCGGCCGTTCGCATCACGACCTCCAAGGCAAGTTCGAAGCCCTCGACCCCTGTGTCCAGATGCAGCTTCTTCGTCGTGGCGGTCTGCGCCGGATGAGGCCCGAGACCAAGGAGTCGGTGGGGGAAAAGATCAAGCTCCTGCGCGCGGCGGTGATCAAGGACCGGGTTTCAAAGGTTGACCGAAAGTCCGGCCAAGGCGAGGAGGAGAACCCGGCGGAGACCCGCGCTGGGGGCGACAAGGCGGTGCAGTTCAGCGACGTTCCGGAGGAGTTTGCGGCGGTGGACTATACGGCGGCGGAGGTCGAGCTCCAGGAGGCGATCAGGGGTCCAGATGACGGGTGGCTTCAACCACCTCACGGCGATCATCACTGCTGCGTTGAGGCTGCCGATGGTGCCTCGGCCCCGAACGAGGTGCAGGAGTTGGTCGCCAAAGCCCAGGCCCTCGCAGATGGCCCGGTACTGGGTGCACTTCGGGAGGCTTCAGACGATTTGTTTGCTTGGGCTGCGACTCGTGTGGCCCTCGCCCCAAACGCAACTCTTGAGGAGATCCTCGGCGACATGGCTACCTACGGCATCGGCGAGACGGCGGCGGAGGCCACCAGGATTTTGGAGGCTCAGTGGGAAGGCGGGTTCCAGCAACGGGATCCATGTCACCGACGTTGTGTGGGAGCCGGGTTTACCCGGCCGCGCCGTTGCCACCATCGAGGGCGCTTCATGGACTTTGTGGGACTACCGGGAGGAGGTTCACATGTCCGAGGAACTCGCGGGGATGCTCCAACAGCCTGAAGAAGGGATTGAGAAACGGCAGTGTGTTACCAAGGCCATCGCGGCGGGGATCATGTGGAGGACATTGGCACGGCAACCCACCCCGGAGGAGGTCGAAGCTAAGTCGCTGGATGTTCGGGTGGAACAGACAAGGCAGGCTCTGGAGGCCCGGTCTGTGATGGGTGAGGCTGCTCAGAAGGTGGCACCCATCGAGGCGGAGATCAGGGTCTACACCCACGACACCCTCAAGGCGAACCACGACAAGGACTTGTGATCCCTGGCGGTCTTCCCAGTGCAGGACCTCGAGGACTGCAAGCTTGTGGTGATCCGCGCGGACTATAAAGGTGACGTGGTGGTCGAGACCGTGACAGGCCCCCTCTGGCGCGACAATGGATGGACGCTGTGGACGTTGATCTGGCGGGGACACATGGTGTTCTTGGAGCCTCCCGCGACTCTTCAGACCGAGGTCTTTCTCGACCGTTGGCAGCCTTACGACACGCCGGCTTTGGGTTTCCTTTTCTTTTGGCACTCGCGACACGATCAGGAGAAGACCGCCCCGGGCCTCGTTCAATGCAGGTTGTGCCGAGGCCGCAAAGCTGGGGACCTGGCTGTCAGTTTGAGGCGGGAGAGTAACTTGGCGGCTGCGGCCATTGTTGGTTGCATTCGCGCAGGCTCTCAGCCGCTTGTTGAGAAGATCATTGTGCGCGGTGATGCATTGTGCTTCCAAGAGGTCTTCGCAGGCGTTGGAGTCATGACCGGTGGTTGGGCCGAGGCCGGCATCAAAGTGCTTTCGCCGGTTGAGGTTTGGAGCGAGCCCGAGGCTCGCCATGGCTACCGCCCCGACTGTGACCTCACCAAGGGTGATGTGCAAAAGCGTTTGCTGTGCAGTGCGGCCAACGGGCAGGCCAACATTTGGTGGATCGCGCCCCCGTGCACGAGCTTCTGTGACTGGGGGGCCCAAAACAACGGGACACGCACGTTTGCATGCCCCTGGGGAGGTGCAAACAACAAGCCTCATAAGGAAGTCGAGTTGCAGGGAAATTTGCTCAGCAAGGTCGCCGCCGAGATTTTTCTCAACGTGCTTCGCAACGGCGGCTTCCCCGTGGTCGAGTCCTCTGGAAGGTCTGGGCGCTATTCCAAGATGTGGGACCTACCCTGGTGGCGTGAAATCCTGGCCAGGCCGGACGTGCAGTTTGTCGAGTTTCCGATGTGTGCCTTTGGCTTGGGCCCAGCTGACGGGTCGGGCTTCTACCACCACAAGACTCGGGTGGCCTTCCGGCGCTGTGACGCCTTTGCGAAAGCCCTGTCCCGATGCTGCCCGGGGGTGGGTGCGGCGCACAAGCACATTCCTTTGGGCGGGGCACGCCCGGGAGCCGCGCGGTCCCGTTGCGCTGAGGCTGGCGTGTATCCCTCGGAGTTCGTCCGCACCGTCGTTTCTACGTTGCAGCAGGTGCTCTTTGTTAGCCTACCTGGCGGTGCTCATGGAACTTTTGGGGGGGGACAAGACGAGCCACAGTGGAAGGAGGATGCGAGGGCCGGTGGCGCGAGTGCGGCGCCCTACGCCGACGTCAGCGGGCCGTCTACGCTATGTGGAGGACGGACTGGATGGTTGGATGAGCTTGATGATGATTTGTGCGACTGGTGGGAGGGCCGAGATGAGGACATCGAGGGCAGGGCGTTGGGAACTCCAACCAGAGCCTGGGTGTTGCCACCCACACCTGCGGAGGAAACTCGCGCCGGGAGTGCGGAAAGTTACAAGGCCCCATCCGTCGTGGCCAAGGAGGCGGCGCAGAACTACATCAAGGTCACCGCCAAGGCGGGCCCTGGCAGTCCGTTTGCGTGGAAGCAGGTCTGCGACAGCGGGGAGGATCTAGTCCGCAAGGCGGGCTCGGTGCGTCTAGCGGCGGAAAGTTTGTGGCAGGTCCGTGAGGAGGAGAATAGAAACAACTTGAGCGGGGTCGAGGGGAACTACCTGGACACGGTGTTGCACCCCGACCTGCTCGAGTACCTCCGTGA